GTACCGCTTTGACTGCGGCTTGACTCACGGTTCTCATTTATTTAGTTTTTAAAACTTGAACAATTTTCAAGAACATACGAATATACTCTTGCGGTCCTACTACTTCATTAAATCCTAGAAATAATATATAAGCTGGGAATCAGACTTAAGATCCGAAAGAGTTTACCCCACAACAGCGACCATAGCGGCGTCTCTCGTTTCTTCGGCGGCTTTGTCAACATTTTTCTCCACAACCTGCTGCAGCTTCTTCCGCAAGCTTTGCTCTCGTAGCCGTAGTACTTCAAACTCATCTACACTAAAAAGGTTTTTCTAAATCTCGTAAATTCATGAAATTAGGAACTCTCAGCAGTCCTTATTACATTTGTACCACTACTTGCAATCAGTCAACTACAAATAAAAAAGATAGGATTTTCATTTTTAGGTAATTCAAAGTGTAACTGTACTTGAGGATTTTAAAGGCTCTACGATAGTTTTCATCTGAAAATGGGGAGATACTCTTCACCGACCTGGCTCGCTCCGATTGCCGTTCCACATGTAGTGTTGTTGGATCAGTGCGGTATTTATTCAAATGATGTAATCGGCTTCTAAAAAAATTAGCTGAATATTGAATTATTATTTGTTAGCAACTGAATATATCAAACTTGATAGTTAAGTCACTAATAAGCTCAGTTGCTTGAGAGTGAGATGTCATGCAGCATACTGTAAGAAGAAAGGTAAGTTCACGAACCTGATATATGGGATTTCAGCAAGTTGAATTTGCAACCGAGCCTCTTGTGTCTTTGCATAATGCTTAAATATCGATAGCACTATATTATAGCGGTCGTAGATAGGAACGTGGAAGATTTTGAAAAGTTCCTGCTGAAAAAAAGGATTTGTCAAAACAAATAGCACATTTCGAGAAAATATTTGCCTGTTGAACGGGGGAGAGCATATCCACATTAACCATGAGCGCAGTAACTCGAGATTGCATCTTCTTTCTCACAAGTGTTTCGATCTGACCCCTTCCCCAAACTGCCTTTCGTTTGGTGTTATAGTCTACTCCCATCACAGCCGATCTGTATAGAAAGATATAGATTGCATCTCCATCGAAATATCAAGTAGTTTATTTGTTTTTTGTTATTTACGTACCAATAAACGTACTAAAATGAAAGTCACTGCAAAATAACGGTTTTGCGGATGGAAAACAGCAAATATGCATCACCATATTTATTCTAGAACAACAAATCGTTAAGCGGCAGGGCAGCTTTTTCAAAAAGTCAGTTTATCGGTCAGAACATATGTAAACTTTCCAGAGAAAATTCTTTGGACTGATTTCGTAGTTCTCAGCATCAGTTAGCCCCGTGTGTTGGTTTAATAAAGAAGAAT